GGCATAAGTTACGTCAAAAATGTTTATTTCTCCATTGGATACAGCATAATATAACCTATATCCTCTCCAATTCTAAGTCTATCAACTAATATTTGTCGTTTTAATTCAATAATACATAATAATAATGATGCATTTTCTTATTTTTATTTTTAATATAGATAATCTAATCCGCCGGTTCTTACAAAAAGGTATATGAATTTGAAAATTCATTTGGATACAAGTAGATCAACTGTCAAAATAAGAATAAGACAATAACGCTATTAGTAATCATTAGAAATTTTTACCTTCTTTCACAATTTATCGATAAAACTGTCGACAATAACAATATACATTAAAATTTTTTATGAAAACTGCCAACTGTCAAATGTCATTTTACTCCTCCTTCTTCAACAAGCTAATTGTTTTAAAAAACAAAAATATATGTATGTACGCGTAGATACGATCTCAGCTGGTTTTAAAAGGACAATAGTACATATTTATCGAAAAAAAAAACTTATTCAATCTAGCTTTCAAAAGCCCCGAACACAAAAACACCAGTACTATAATTAAGGTACCAGAACTTAACAGATGGACCACATATTATGGGTTTTAGTGTAGAAATAAAAAACACAACAATAATTACGCATATATTTATTGTTTACATTATGTACAAATGTGTCGTCAAATTAATACATAGTAAATTGTAAATATGTACATTGTTTTTAGAAATTATTATTAAATAGTTAATAATTACTCATGTGTTTTTAATCAATTTAACAGCTACCTAACTGTGATTTTTAATGGGATATTTGTGAAGATAAGTACAAATGGGTCTGCAATTAATTTTTCAAATTACCCGTACATAAACAAGATACATTGCCATTACTGGGAGAGGAAAAAATATTCCTGCTACAAAACCAGGTAATGTAAAGGTGGGTATCCATTAGATTCGTGCACCAACTCTGCTTCGCGCATCTGTAACCGCTCAAATGGAGATGTTACGCGCATCATTACAAGAAGACCGAGTGCTCCATACTCGCACTTCGACCCTGCTAAAATGTTTTGCTTCCCTCGCGGAGCATGCAACTTTGCCTAACATGTCCAGTAATGGAGCAATTGCAGATGCCCAGAGCATAGTTTGTGCATGAACTTCATGAACCCACCTTTATAGGAATGTTTGTTCCCCATACGAAATCAATATGGCGGACCGAGAGGTTGAAACTTGAAGAAGAAAGCCCATATTTGAAGTCTTCTTTGTGAGATCGTAGCTTCCAAAACGATGCAGTGATCTTAAAGCGCTTTTTTGATTGTTTAATTTTTGTTGCAATGAATATAACGAGAATGAATATGTAATTCGTTATTCTATGTTTTAACACCAAAAGGAAAGTTAGTGTTGTTACTTTTTAACAAAATGATCCTTCACCAAAGTATGACGTCATAAATAAATACAGCCTTTTTCCGTTTGATTTCTGAATTTCGCACTGTGTGGTTGATTATTCACAATGTGATTTTTTTTATACTTGGTATTTAGTTTTTCTTAACGAAAATTTTAGTTTATTGGTTTCATTCGGTAATTTTTTTAATTCAAGAAAAAACAAACTATTTTAACTTTTATGTATTTTGTTTTAGAAGTATTCTGTATTCTTCAATTATTAAAAGTTACTTTTAAATATTTCGATTTGAGCGTGTCTAAGTAATAAATGTGAGCGACAATACATCACTTCCCATATTTAATAAAAATCTTTTGACTATGGTTACTTCTTGGATAGGTGTCTAACATTAACGCGAGGCAGCGAACGTGGAGCTGGTTGCATGCATGCGTGTTTTAACCTATAAAAGATTCAGAAATTTTAATTATTACACCAATCTTCCTTTCAAAGGTTCTCCCTACCAGTCCCTAACCGGCAAAATGAAGCACTCCGGGATTTTTCGTTGGGTGTCGGGGCAAACTTTCACGGGTGGCTTTCCCTAGCTACATGGGTCCCCAATTCCCCATGATCGGCCAGCGGCGCACCGTACTTCGGATCCCTTTAGCCTCCAGAACCGAATACTTAGTATGGCGGCATAAGCAGTAGCAACTCTTCGTCAGACGCAATGCCCGAACGTTCAGACCCGACCTCCTAATGACAACTCCCGAACACGGACAAAAACCATTTGTCGACTCGACTCCGTCGGGAGCGTGGTAACTAGCCGCTGTCGAAACCACTGATAAGTCGCACCAGAACGCAGTAATGCTCACATTAATGCTTGGTGACAGACTTCCTTGAAAATGCAATGCATGCTTCCTTTAAATTGCAAAGATCTCAGGGGCACTGCCACTGCGCCTGTCACCCTGAGACGTAAGTTGGCAAGTCCCATGTGCCTGTGCCCTTCAAAACCGGAACACAGTAATGCTGACATTACTGCTTGGCGGCAGAAATAGGTAAGGTGGCAGTACTTCCATGGACGAACCCTTCACAAAAGCTCTATTGCTTCTTCTGCCATACCCATCGAGTATATAACCAGAAATAGAGACGAAATAAGGGCCATATATTCCTGGTAACACATTAGCGATACAGCTTTTATAAATATCAACTCTCGCTTGCACTGAAATATAGACAGGCCAACTACTAACCTGTGTGTAGGTCTCCGTATATTCCAAAAAATATTCTTTATTTATTGTAATAAAGATGATATCTCTTACAATGCCGTGCTGTTCTATTCGGTGGTGTGGGAAAAATAGCAAAGCATCTAATTACAAAACACATTTTATCGGTAATTAAATATGTAATTTTGTAATTTTCGTCTATTACAGCAAAGCTCAAGTTAACTGGTCGTGTTGAAGTGAAACAATTGACGACACCCGTCAATTGTTTCGAACTCGGGCTGGCCGATCGGAGCGCTGTTGTCACAGTAATGATATGGCAGAATAGTTTTCAAACAAATTATATGACATTTCGTCTCTATTTCTGGTTATATACTCGGTGGCCATACCTAACTCTCACGACAAAACGTCAGTGTATAAACCAGCAAAGCATTGAGTATGGACATGTATTAGCAAAGATGAATGAAAAAATGTTACCTTAAAGAGATTGTCCAGCTCGTCGAGCAAAGTTTCGTGGCGGAAGGAAAGCCTTACATCTGGCACGTTAGTTCGCGTAATATCGTTGCCTTGAGGTCCGTCGCGCATACATTCCGCCCCCAACCAGAACTGCTTCATCTGAAAAACGACATTCTGACAACATTTAGTATCAGACACTGAAGAGAAATTACAATAAATGTTCAAATAACAATTACAAGAAGTAAGAAAAAGTACTTCAATATAATAATTAGGTCCAAGGATACCAAAACACTTCAGAGTTAAAAAATGGCAAAGAGTAGTTTGGAGAGGAGCACGAACTCTAGGAGTCTACTGTTGTTCTCGACATTATTGTCAAATAAGTAATATTCGATCAAAAATTAAAACACAATGCCAAGCATGAAGCTTCGTTCGCATGCGTCTTGTAATTTAGTCGAGTTACTTATTTTGTATTACACCTTGGTGTCGGGTGGCTTTTAAATACTTGGGTTACTGACAATTTAAAGAACAACCTGGACATAGAGAGGGAACACTGGTCGCTGGCTGTCCGCTGTAACTTGCTGGCCCGAAAGTTTGCAAGGTGTATAAAACTGTGACGGTGTGACCTCCTAACATCGCAATCCCTCCTTTTTATCGCCTTTCACTGGTTCCTGGCCACTCGTATTTTTTAAATTTTGAATTGTTCCATAGCTCTTTTACTTCGCATTCTGATTTTGTTTCGTTCCAGCTTCACTCCCTGCTCGATGGCGACAGCCTACGGAGCTGGTTAAAATTCAATCGCGTCTAATTTTGATTCCTTTACTAATTTTATAATCACTAGTAATCTAAATCATGTGTCAATTTTAATAAGTTTATAGCCCCTAAAGCCTTATCATGTACCTATGAATACATATCTGTAATTCAGTACATCTCGGCCCTTTTGGGCCTTACTTCTTGTTACCTTTGTTCTCTTTAACCGATTTTAAATAAATTTGTGGACCTGAAATTTTCTGTTTTACTGTCGTGAACCTGGTCACGGCTTGTTAGGGTTACAACCCTTTCAAAACCAGTTTCGCTAAAATTTCGCTTTTCAAAGCATACTGCCAATCATTCTACACCTGCGGGTCCAATATAATAACGCATTCAGGCTTCTGTTGGCGCTGTTGTAATGTTGCAGTGCTTCGGAGATGTTTGCGGAGACGCGCGCGGATGACTTCTATGTTATAATGAGAAGACGTTGCGCCTACGGGGTAGTACCAACGGACTCCCGAGTGTGTTCATAGACCGGTGGGACTCCCCAATGTCCCCAACAGCATTGGATGCAGCTCCACATGGACAAGATTCCGAAATAAATACTTATTATTATTATTATTTGGCAGCAATTGTTACAGTACAGCTTTTTTTGTTTTATATTCTCAAGTAACGGGACGAACAAGTCATGCGCGTGATGGTAAGTTCCACAACAGTTGCAGCTGTTGCCTATCCACAACAGTTGCAGCGCCACTCAGAGCTTTAAATCGCAAAGAACTGAGGGGCACCATTCTGGGACATAAGTTGACAAGTCCCATGTGCCTGTAATTGCAACAGCTGCTGTGTTTAAAGCAACAAAGTGGCACAGCGATCTATGAGACATCAACTAAAATAGTACACTAAAAAAATACCTCATAAGGAAATCCTGACATGAGAACCGAGTTGCGTGCCAGCTCACACATGTCGCACGAACTCATTCTCCACGCTTGAGCAGCTATGCTGTATTCTTCCATCAGAGGCTCCTGAAATCAAGTAAACACAAAGCATCAAACGAGGAAAGTAAATCAAAACTAACCTTCGCATCGTTATTTATGATCGTAGCCATCAAATGGTCATACCGAAACTGGACCGCAGATTTTTGAGCAAAAGGAATAACGATATCATTTACCTTTGTATAGTGGAACTGCAAAGGATCGTCAGTGCTGAGCGTGACCCTGAGCCCTCGCGCGAAGAACTCGGGGCACGGATTGCGGTGGTAACGCAGGAAAAGAGAATTGTTGCTCAAAGGCGACATCGCTATGTATATCTGGGCTAAAAAATACATATACTGGAGCACTGGCACCTGAGAAAACGAAGACTATTTTTATTATTTTATAAATTTTTAAGGGAATGCGAATGATTTATTTTTATTCTGGTACATCGAGTATATAACCAGAAAATTATTTCTGGTTATATCTGGCCTTCCATCCCTGGCAACTCATCAGGCAAATGGGCCTTATATCACTTTTAAATATCAACTTTTCAAAAAATCTATATTTATTGTAAATCTCTAACAATGGGAGGCTGTTCCATTCAGTGGTGCGAGAAAAGCAGCAAAACATGTAATTACAAAACAAAGGGAATCACATATCATCGATATTTAAATAATAAGTATGTATAGGTAATTTTTCAATTTCCGTCCGTTATAGCAAAGCTCAAGTTAACTGATCGATTTGAAGTGAAACAGTTGACGACACCCGTCAATTGTTTCGAACTCGAGCTGGCCGATCGGAGCGCTGTTGTCACAGTAATGATATGGCAGAATAGTTTTCAAACAAATTAAATGACATTTCGTCTTTATTTCTGAAATGACTGCATGCATCCTTGCGCTCGTTAATAAAATTACTGATGTCCTCTTCCAGCTCGCTTCCGCTACTTAAGACGGAAGCTACTTATCGCCTAGCTAAACTAATTATTTGAGGTACCTACATCAACTTTATACTTATAAATTCTTATATGAAGCATGGCAAGGATGTAAAGCGTTTTTGACCCTCTCCTTTCACGTCGCCCTTTTTAGAAGTAGAGATGACTTCACATGCGTACACTCTTGAACATATTTTCACCAAAAAAAAAAATAAGGGCTATTTTTAGCTTCTTTATTATACAAAATGACGGGATGAACAAGTTGTGCGCCTGATGGTGAGCAGTTGCAGTGACACTCAGAGTTTTAAGTCGCAAAGATGTGAGGGGCACTGCCACTGCGCAAGTCACTGTGAAACGTAAGTTACCAAGTCAAGCAATTTCACCAGCACCCTCACTCTCCAAAACCGGAATGCAATAATGCTCATATGCTTGGCGGCAGAAATAGGTAAGGTGACAGTACTTCTCTGGACGAACTCTTTTACAAGGAGCTCTACTGTTTATCGCGACAAATATGACTCCAAGAAGCGTAAAATTGCATCCTTTCTTATCACACTATGTCACATCTTGTAAACCTTCTTCCTAAAGCGTGACACACAGAGAGTGGGTGCGGGTCGGACGCGGATAGTCCATATATAAATACACGTAATTAAATCCGCACCCGTCCTGCGTATCTTTCACTCTTAAACGTGTTAAGTTACTTAAGAATGGTCCCTAATGATTGGCAAGATAAGTTTTCAAAAGTACCTTTCGTAACATGAGGCCGTGAGAAATATTTTCGGCAAGCAAAAAACCTCCGTTCAAATGACACATTGGGCCTGCCTCGCCGCAGTGCGGCCGCAGCACGAACGTGTTCAAACCTTGTTCCCTGGAAAACCATTACCCTGCTTTAGCTCAAAACTGTGTTATAGCTGGCTCTCTTGGCCTTGATGTAATAAGGTCACATCTAGAAAAGACGACTTTTGGAGAGAGGTTTAATGATTCTCGGGAAATTAGTCAGTAAGTTTTTTTACGCATAGATAGGAAAGTTATAAAATTTCACAATTTTGTTTCATGTGTTTCGAATTATTTTTACGACTTCCATGTCGATACCTCCGGTCAACACCATGTTAACTTAATTTTCTGGTGATCTCTGGTTTTATTTTGTTTTTCGTTTCCTTATTTTTTTGCACAAAATTTGTTCTTTTTCCGAATATTGTTTTTTTTTTTCACGAAATTCGGAGAGCATTATATTAGTAAATATAATTTCAGTACAGAGTACTAAAAAAACGATCTCAAAATTATATTATATTGAAATCGGTTACCGAAAAGTGCGCGATACCGGATTCATCCCCTAGTAGCCACCCTTGAAGGTGGAATATTTTCTTCCAATTTAAATGGGACCAATATTGAAAAAACCCTCTTTCCAACGAAAAAAGAATCATCAGAATCTGTTGACAAATTTTAGCTCGTCCAGATTTATAGTTCGCCGGAATTATCGCGTAACATATATTAAAAACAAATACAACTCGAACTCGAGTCGAGAAGGTTCTCCTTCTCCTATTTTGAATCGGTTAAAAATGAGACTGTTTATATTAGAAATAGAAAATTACTAACAATTAAATTGGCTTAGTGTTCATTATAGGAGGTATAAATGTGATAAAAGCATTTTTTTTATGTAGGTACGTACGTACCTGTTATTGTTATAACAAAGGGCACGAAGCATAAAATTAACGAAATCAAATCATGCCTTTTTGAGCTGGACAAGATTAGAACAGAAGAAGAACATTGCCCCTTGCAATCGACAACTGACAAAGTTACTGATCATGGTGACATGTAGTTTTAATATTCTGCCGCGGTTAGTTGAAAGGGCGCATGTGACTTTTTAAATTTGTATCTCGTATACCTCCGTGATCAGTCAAAAATACCGATCACTACCTATTTTTGTTTTTTCCTACGTGGGTAAGGTATGAAGTTACAGCAAGAAAAAAAAGTAGGTAGATATTTTTTAAATTTATTATCTTGACACAATATTTTCTTGGCTTTGAGTTTTTGTCACAAGCGCCCTTTAAACTTTACTAACGGCGGCAGCATTCATAAGTTACTCACTTGCGCAGATTGTTAAGCTGCACCATGTTAGCAAACATGTAGTAGAGATAGTAGTTGTAAGGCGGATTTTCTTCATGCACCCACTGTTCGGGGGTCTTCATGTTTTCGTTCAGGTTTGGGTTCTCCGGCTTCGACTCGTCGTCCACGCTGTCGAAACCTATCACGTGCTGGGCAGAAAATTATCTATATTTATTAAAATACACGCTCTTCCTCTCCGATCATTGTTACAACATTGGTATATAGTTATTATGCCTTATTATTATCTTTGCATCAAATATATGAAATTTATCATTAACACTCAAAAGTCCCACTGCTGGGCACGAGTCTCCTCACAGGCGAGGGTTGGGAACTTTACGTTTTCCGAGGATCGTGAACCTTCTTCGACGTGTAGGTTTTATCATAACATTTTCCTCAAACATGCACGGAAATGTTTGCATTACTATCAAAAAAACGAACACAGAAGGTTTGTCATTTATGGACCATGCGACTTCTTTCCGGCCAAGGCCTGCAAAGTAAATATGAAAATCTATGTCCTCTTCTCTGAACTTTTAAATTTACGTACTAATAATGAACTATATAAACAGATAAAAGAAAAACTCATACAACCAACTGCCCAATGTTCGTAATTGCGACAATTAAAAATACCTACCTGTATCGCTTACTTAAAAAAAAGAAAATGGCGACATCATTTAAAATATAGTGTTTTGGTATCCTTTTGCTTTTTCGTCCTTTTTGTATTTTGGTCGCGAAAATGAGTGCAAGTGAGAAGAGCGAACGAAAATACAGTAATAGACACACATTCAAACACATCATCAGAACTTCAGCCGATTACTTTTAATGTGCCTGGAACATTGACTTACAAATAAATGGACGACGGGTCTAATACAAAAACCACGAAAAAAATGTCCCAAGTCAACCTATTTACACGTAGTGACATGTAAAGGAATATGAAAAAGCTAAAACGTTGAATTTAAATTGTAATGTCATCACAGTACTGTCTAATTTTGCTTGCTTCGCTGTCAGTCGAACAAACGAAGACTAAAGCGTGAATGACGCTCTGTATACGATTTTAACGCCCTATAAGTTCGGACACTTTTTAGCGCGGACCCGACGTCCATATAATTGTAAGTCAATGGCCTGGAAAGTCACATATTCAACACACACACTCACACGTCAAACATTACTTTAGATATTAACAAAATTTTTTTTTACTTTTTCCACTATATATCTTCCTCTTCTTTTACTATTTTATTATTTCCTCATATTGTTTTGACAAAAATTCTATACATGCCTCGGCGGGAACGGGGATTGCTTGACTCGTATTAATACAAGGGTAACTCGTACTTGTCCAGCTATCCCTTACTTCCCGGCCTCTGCAATAATGTACTATTCCTTCACCGACAAGCTTATGGTAAATTTTAAATTACATTTTGCACATAAGTTCTGAGAAAGTTTAGTAGTTTAGTAGCAGTAGAGTCCCTCGTGAAAGAGTTGGTCCAGGGAAGACCTGCCACCTTACCTATTTTTGCCACCAAGCGGTAATGTGACCATTATTCTGCCGTCCACTAACTAAAATGCGACTAACTGACAAATGGTCAAATGTCCGTTTTATCGGAACTTACCCTAACGATGCATGCAATTGTTTAATGCTATTAAACAATTTCAAAGTTCTAAAACTGGGTTATGGTTTTTTATGATATCTCAAAACATATTTTGTCAGTTAGCCGGGTTAAAGCTCTCGAAAGGCAGTATTGCGTTCCGGTTTTGAAGGGCAAGGGTGCTGGTGAAATTGCAGACACATGAGACTTGTCAACTTATGTCTCAGATCTTTGCGATTTAAAGCTCTGAGTGGCACTGCAATATATATATAACGATAGGCGTGTCTCTCGACTTATTCGTCCCGTCATTTAGTATCATAAAAAAAATCATAGGTGCGTGCGTGTCTGAATTCGAACCCACCACCTGTGCTTGAAAGGCGGTAGAGCAAACCGTTAGGCTACCACAGCTTATAATGTATGAAATTACTAAGTATTTTCCTTTACCATGAGGAACTTATGGAGTTCAATGTCCGAGGCCGGATGGAGAGTGACCTCGAAGAGAGGTTCGAAGAGATTATCCAAAAACTCTTGAAAGCTCTTAAGTAAGTTTGTAATGCGGTAGATGTCGCTGCAAAAAGGAACAAGTTTTCTCATATTTGACTTCACTCACTCACTTTTGACTTTAGATCACTTTTGACTTCTATCTTTTGAATCCTTAATACCTGGCAAGACTGTATTACTAACATCATAAACAACAACTTTTGTTCCGTGACTTTTAACAATTTACTTTCGCACAAAAATAAAAATATTGAAATACCTCTACAGCGCTCTAAGCGATGATAACTGTGCGGTAACAAAAGAAAGCGTAAATACGAGTAGGCAGGAGCGGGTGCAGGGCACTTGCTACCTTACTACAGATAAATAGATTTGTCTAAAAAGTATCAGATATTATAACAAAAACTTAATTTTATTCTTAGTAAATTTATTGTTTTGTAACAAATGAGAGATAAGTTTAAGGAAATTAACATTCTTACACTAGCCTCACAATACATTTATGAAAATATAATTTATGTTAAAAGGAATAGTAATTTCTTTATGAAAAATAGTGACAGACATAACATTAATACGAGGAATAAAAATAAACTAGCTTTTCTTGATAGTCGTCTTCACAAAGTCAAACAATCATTTAAGGGGCAATGTATACGCTTCTATAACAAGATTCCGGTTGATATACAAAATTTGCCTTTCACGAGGTTTAAAACTATAGTGAAACAAAAACTTTATACTAAAGGTTATTATACAACTTCTGCGTACTTGGATGACAAAAATCCGTGGTGGTAACCCGTTTAGCTCATGGAGGTAGTCTCAATCTGATGTTTCAAATAAAAAAATATTGTAAATGTTATTTACAAAGAGCAACCCCTAGAGTTTCTTGCTCATTCTTCTCAGGGGAATCTGCCTTACGAATGAGCGGTAGAGTTTAACCATTGTGACGATTTCAAGTGTAATAATGCTTACCTATGAAATAAAGATTATTTTGAATTTGAATTTGAATTTGAATTCAAAGGAAGGGTACGGATAACTTCGCTATTTGTTACTAGAGTGCGTAGTGAGAAGAATTGGAAGGCTTGTATGAAAAATTTATGAATGTAAGTGAAGCAAGAGATGTTTGTCAAGATCGCCTCTGCCTACCCCAATGGGAACTCAAGGGAGTGATTAGATAGCTTTGGAACTAGGCTATAAACTCCTTTGACGGATTTTCTGTTGTTGTAGAATTCCAAACGAGTGTTCTTCGTTGCTATTATTAATATCGACGGGAGCCGAGTCACTAGATCATCACGGAAGAAAAAAAATGGGAGTGCGTTAAGTCTTGATTACTACCTGCAGGCTGATTTTAATTCGAATCGGGTAACCCATCCAAGTGTCGAAATGAGATGGGTTTCCGAGCGAGAAGATGAACCTGATTCCTACTAGGGGAACGTGGGGTATTGGGAGCCCGCGGGTAATGAGAGCGGTGTTAAACTGGACTTTCCCAATGCTCGTATTTGTGCAAACGGCACTCCTATATCTTCGTTAACGTTCGACAAGATTCGAGTCCCGTGGGCGCCCCCGTAGAACCCCGCGTTTAGTCGTATGAGAGGGTTGTGTGTTTTTCGCTACGCACTTATAAAATTTGCTAAATTTCATCATCCCAGGTAGGCATTAAAATGCATAGATACTACATTGTATTTACACTAGCGATGTCACCATATCTATCAAATTTTAGAAGTTATGCTTGAAATCACAATAAAAACAGAAATGTTTTTACTGTTTTATTCCTTTTTCAATTCGATGTTACGCGGGTAAGGAGAGCTATTTGGCTCTCCTTAACCCATTGCAATATTCACTGGATATTCCTTTAATACTTTCTTGTTTATTTTCATTACTTTTTAACTTATATATATATTTTATTACTTTAATTTTTTTTCAGACTGATTATATATAATGGCTCCCATTTGACATACGGGATTCTTACCGGCTCCCATTTCACGAACTGTGGGGTAATGAGAGCGAATGACATGTTTTAGTTTTTTCTTTTTTAACCAAATATTTTATTTTAATTTCACATTTTTTCTGTGATTATCTAGTACCCAGATATGTGAAGCGTACGTTCATAACTAATACAAATTTAAATTACCTAAATTATGACTTTTATTGTCAGTTTTCCTTAGTAGGCTCCCATTCCCCCACGCTCCCCTATATCTATCTAATTTGTGAGTTGCATCAGCTATTGTTCCGATTTGAAATGTCAAAGTTTCCGATCGTCCACTTGTGAATTGGGAAATTGAATGCGAATGAAATTATGCGCCTCGACTCGGAAGAGACGCAGTTTCCGATCGGGAGAGGCAATCAAAATCAGCTGTTGAAATTTTAAACACTATGAAGTGTTTATAATGATTGGTCGTCTAATTTAAAAAAAAGTAACAAATTGTTTTCTTTTTTTTTCTTTTTTTTTTAAATAACGCACACACTCAACATAGCCCCGCACTAGGGAAGCCTTGTGTCGCGGGTGCCATGGACACACACATAGACAACCACAAATTACACCCAAACTCACGAGAGAAATAATTGTAGGCCATACAAATATTTCTCCCGGCCCGGGAATCGAACCTGGGACCTCTGCGTGGCAGTCCGGCATGGTAACCGTTCAGCCACGGAGGCAGTAATTCTGGGTTATGAATATAATTTACACTTTACCTGTTGGCATATCGATGACAGTTCAATACCAGTAATACCTATTATTGCTATTTACGACGAGACGTGTTGATTTTGTATTGAAATTTCAATTAACATGCTGCCATCTAGCCGTTGATAGCTGAACGACGACGATTTCGAGAAGTGTACTTAGTTCTCCAAAAAAGACGCGACCTTAATGCAGCAGCATTAGGTTTACTTTCGTTTCTTGTAGCAAAAAAAATGATTACGATGAACAGAAAATTTATAACATAAGACTTAACGATGATATGAAATACCACCATTGATATTATTACAGGTGCAACTATCATTTTTAACTTCAACGTAGCAAAATAAGCATTTTTCTACAATTTCCAAGGTTTCTTCAAGGTCACTTTCACTTCTACTGTATTTATTATTCTGTGGGTAGCACTGTAGCCCTTAGATGTGTAGGTACTAGGTGTCGGGTATTTTTCGGTAGAATCAATTTAAGAAACGAACGTTTAGTTTTGGACTAGTAAGGTTATTGGACCTTGGGGCCTACTACAACCTCTTAAAACAATATTACTTTGACCTTACAATGACTTTTCGTACCATAACGCGCTTAAAGTAAGCTTATTATAATGTTAAAACTATGATGTTTTATTGAGAGCTTGGTGACTATACATTCATTCAGTTTGTACTATAACGCGGCTTTAATATTAAAGTTAGCAATCTTAAAATAATCACACGGATGCAGTGGAAACAATATTATTTTCGAATTTATTGTCTAGATATTGATTTGTAAATATTAAAAGTTAATTTTTACTTATTTATTTACATAAATCTATTCAATGTTTTGTTTATTTTTTATTTAATACATAGGGCGCACTGTAAGTTTCTGGAACTGGCCACTTACATAAACAATATTTAAAAAGTAATTACAACATTTGAACACTTAAACATTTGAAACTGCCTCCGTGGCCGAACGGTTACCATGCCGGACTGCCACGCAGAGGTCCTAGGTTCGATTCCCGGGCCGGGAGAAATATTTGTATGGCCTACATTTATTTCTCTCGTGAGTTTGGGTGTAATTTGTGTTTGTCTATGTATGTGTCCATGGCACCCGCGACACAGGGTTTCCCTAGTGCGGGGCTATGTTGAGTGTGTGCGTTATTATTATTATTAAAATGGAACTCTTTGGCTGTAGAATACAGTTTGTTTCATCTGATCGTCACTTGTTTTTACATTGTGGCGTCATTTTAGAAACTGGTTGTCTACATCACCATGGATTTAACTCGTGAAAATTTTCGTAGTATGATTTTCTACGACTTTACGTGTAATGTAACAGCTCAGCGGAGCTACGCTCGGCTTCAAACTTTTGGTGATGAAGCACCATGCAAGACGACTATTTATAGCTCGTTTGCAGAATTCAAACGCGGTCGTGTGAATCTCAGTGACAGTCCACCGCTGTGAACAACAAAAACATCGATGCTGTGCGTCGTATGATCAAAACAGACAGGCATGTGACATACCATGAGATTCGGGCATTTTAGGCATAGGCATGAGTGAAATACAATCAATACTACATAAATATTTGGGTGTGAAAAAGCTGTGCTCTTGGTGAATCCCACACAATTTGACTGAAGCTCAAAAAACGGATCGCGTCACTTGGTGCAATGCCATGCTTACCAGATTCAACGAAAGGGCGAAAATTCAAATTTGGTGTGAGACGTAGTAACAGGTGACAAAACATGGATTTATAGTTACAATCCCAAAACTAAGCAGCAAGCGAGCGTATGGGTCTTTCGAGATGAGCCGAAACCAACTAAAGTGGCGCGCGTGCAAAATGACTCTAAGCGGATGATTGCTTCTTTTTTTAACAAAACTGGACACGTGGCTACTGTTGCTTTGGAGAATCGTTGTACCGTGAAGAGATTGGTACACGACCATTTGTTTGCCGGAAGTTATTGACAAACTCCGTAAACCCCGTATCATCTTGCACCACGATAATGCCAGTTTTCACACGGCCAGACAGGTAAATGAATTTTTGAAGGTGAACAACGTTGGCCTTATGAGCCATCCCGCGTACAGTCCCGACCTGGCACCTGCTGACTTTTATTTATTTTCAAAAATTAAGAACCAGTTACGCGGTCAACGTTTTTCATCACCTGAAGAGGCTGTCGAAGAGTATAAAACATATGTTTCAGAGATAGTCACGGAGGAGTGGCATAAATGTTTTCAAAATTGGTTCATTCATGTGAAAAAGTGCATTAACGCTAAATGTGAATATTTTGAGAAATAATAAATTAATTTCTGACCATTCACAGTATTTTTTTCTTATTCATTCCTGAAACTTATAGTGCACCTCACATAGTACATAGGAAATCATTTCTCGCTAAATAAATATACGCGATGTTTATTTCGTAATATTATGACAGCGACATCTATATGCTCCTTGGCGACACTAACAGTTGCCACTAGACTATAATTCCGAATTCACAACGTGACTATCAAGACTCAGCTTGTCTTATTAATTTTTTTCGCGAAAATGCGGAAACAACATAATTTCAATAGATTTTATTATTACATAATTTTCTTTTTTAATAATTAAAATTCTCTGAACGTAAATAACATTAAGTACTTGAACTTACTACGATAAGACGATTCGGAATATCTAAAAAGAAAGAGATGGCATTATATAGTTCACATAGCGTTATTTCTTTCCTATTTTTAGTAAGGAATAGACAATGTTGGGAAATCATTCGGTCTTTCAATCACTTTAGCAATAATGCATTACTTGGTTGACAGGTTTGTCATGGTACGAATGTAAGTAATACTATAACAAGCTTACTTTAAGCTTACATTGAAATAAGATTGTTTATGAAAAGGTTATGTTCCCCCTTAAACTGCATCACGGCTGCACTATAGTAGAATTGATATTCATTGTTAACACGTACTACAAGCGCGGCACCTGTACAACCCACCGCACATGGTTGGAGTAGACCTTGTGTCTCACAGCCCACGTTGCCAGTTTGCTCCACTCCTCTTTGTTCTTGCAGTAAATGGAGATTCGCGGCTCTATGTATGTATACTTGTTGTCTTCCAAGTCGCTTATCACCTCCTGTTTTATAATTGATCGTTATTACTCTTAAGGCGACTCAACGGAGGAAAAGCGGGAAAAACTGTTTTGCTAAATGATATGGTTCAGGCATTTACTGTTCAATAACCTACAAACAAGTTTAAAAATTTAAAAAAAATCCGGCTGCTAAAATATTTAACTAAAAAGATAAAAAAACAATATTCTCCTCACTATTTTTATTATTTTTATAGTTCTTCCGCAGTCGAGTAAAAAAATACAATACACCTAATGATATTATCTAAAGAATCTCCTTTTGTTACACAATATGATGCATTTTACTCGATCATATGAAATCCCGAAAACAGGATAAAATAAAAGTTCCAAACGAAATATTTAATAAAATATCTAATTTGCACATAATTTTTATACAGCGATATTGCTCTTTAAATACTACAGAGAACCTGCTAAACTTTGGTTTTCAACTAAAGCCCCTGCAGTGTAGGTTTAAAGACACGCCGCGCCGCCCGCTACCCCGTCAGTCGAGCGCTTGTCAACGTCGAATCTGTGTCAGATTTTCTCCGCCTGTTCTTATTTTAATCATGTTCATTTTAAACGCGCAGACTGCGGGACACGAGGTGCGCCATCTAGGCTCGCGTTCAAATACCTCGCGTTAGGAGTCTATACTACCTCAGCCCTAATTTATTTTTGCTTTTCATTTTGCTTGGGTCCAGCGACAGGGAAAAAGCCATTGGAAAAATGTATATCGTATAGTATTTAGGTATTCGAATAACAAAAACAAATGCCGAGTTGTGTCGTATATTGCCAACAATGTACAGCAATTCGCTCCTTCAACGCAGTTATGAATTAATAAGGAATTTTGTAGAGCGAACAAACGTCAAAACGGCAATCATAGCGTGCCGGTATTTTAATGTCAAATAAATAATACTCAACGAAATCAAAAGACATTGTCTGAAGTATGAGGTTTTATTCGCATCATGTGGCGGAAATCGGACTGAGTACGAGTGTATACCCTCTGTACTGTCTGTGTGAAAAATCACCAAACTCTTCTTAGTGGAAAACCACAAACCACAACTGCTATTGGACTTAGGACAAGCTTAATTGTTTAAAAAATACTACTTATATTTTCAAACTTGAGTGTGGAGGTTGTTATACTCGGCTTACCTTTATTATTTTTGCGAAATATTTCCCGTTCATATAGTTGTCAGTTTTGAGGAAAACCTCTCTCAACCTGCTCTCGCCAACGGGGTTGTATTTCGCGTTGAACTTATCGAACCTTTGAAACGTGTTGCGGTCCTGAAAGTAGACTTTTTTGTTAACCTCTATTTTGTTCCACGGTATAGGGCAGGAATCTTCCCCGATTTCGCAGCACACAGGTGCTCTCGGGACACGATTGCTTTGGGAAGTAGTTGTGTCGACTTGCCAGAAAAGTGCCCCGCAAGGGCTGAGCAGCGTGTCCTTGTCGCCGTAGTCGGGAGTTATCTTTCTCTCCCGGCTATTGTACGTTCAGTGGTTGGGAGCAAAAGCTTCTGGAGCGCAGTCTTAGACTTCGACGAACGGAAAGGGAAGATACAGCCCCGACCCGATCTGCCGTTGGAGAGTTGGTCGCAGAAGGAAAACTATGGCTCTGCAGTTGCCGACGTAGGTGGGTAACGGGTGGCGAAAGCCCCCGTGACATGGGTCCATGAGCCGCAGACTTAGGGGAGTCGGTCACTCGTCTGCCTCTGCTGACGGGGAGACAAGAACTCTTCCCGAAAAGCGAGATGGGATTCAGCGCCCTGACGGACCAATATCCGTCGGAGTCGCGGAAGAATGCGTAACAGTCCCCGTGACTCCGGCACATGGTGAGGAAATTGAACACCGTCAGGTTTTAGTCGGTAGGAGTCCGACATAACCCTTCGCTTCCCCCGAGCGGAGGGTATCCATAAGGATTTCCTGACTTTAAAAGAAGAGGAATGTTTCCGAGCTCTTCCGCTGTTCCATTCTGATGATTTGATCGTCACAATATTGTTTTGGCTGTGCGTCTAAACAAAATCAGATAATTGAACAATGTTACTGTCCTAAATTCGGCAATAACATATTTAGGAATTAATGATGCTTACTCAGTGGAAAGAGAAGCTTAACTGAAAAGAAAGATATTTGAGCGTCGTCACGACAGTAACGAGACACAGGCGGAGCAAGTTCGAGACGAAGTTATTTAGATCAGATAAAAGAAAAAGCAAACGTAGAGTCGTAACATTAACTCAAAGTGAGGACACAACAACAAACATGGTTGATGAACAAATATGGTTGGAGTTTTTCAACAAACGACAACAACACCCTTTGCGACAGCAATTAGGTAAGGTAACATGTGACTAAACCACTGAATAAATAATATACTTTGTAATTATTTACTACGTAATATCAATTCAATAACAATTTAATTAATACAGTGAATAGCGACATCTCTCGCCAGGACTGGTAGCTGTAAAGGTACTAACTGGGTGATAAATCTGTCATAGATTTCTCATTGATGGCGCTACGACTAAAAAGTCGTTGAAAGACCAAGTTTTGTGACGCAAGCACACAGAAAAATTCGTGAGGTCCGTTGGTTCGTTCCGTGGCTTAGTTGGTATAGCGTCTGCCACGGTATGCGAGAAGACGTCGGTTCGAATCCGACTGGATCGAAGGAATTTTTTCTGAGTGTTTTTCTGAGTGTTCGATCTTTGTATTAATAATTATAACAAACTAGTGGAGTAATTTCACAAAAAATAATTATATATAATACTTTCTATATTTTGTGGAACTTAGCCCTTTGTTGGGTATACAAGAAGAACTGCTATTCTGTATAGTCTGACTTCGCGGCCTCTCTCAGCGTAATGCGGTTCTAAATGCGGCGTAATTAAATGTGGTTCTCCACAACACATATACGAATAAAACAACTTACAGCATGAACGTCCAAAATATCAACGTTCAGATCGTAAGCGTCAAGTTGCATATCCTCGAAGACGGATCGGAGCGTCTTGGGTTGCCCGTTCACTAATGTCACAACTTCCTCTGGATACGTCCGAAGAGTTCGTTTGATGAAACGCAGCAAATGCTTCTGGTTCATGGAAGATGCGGCGTGGATGTGGGTGTCCACTTTTCTGAAGACAGAAAGAGACAATACCAAATTCCTCCCCACCACTAAAACCTGCGTGTAAAGTGAAATGTAGAAAATATTATCATTACTAATTAAATTTTTATTGAATTGATATTCAGTTCTTTTTTGTGAAATTACTCCACTAGTTTGTTATAATTATTAATACAAAGATCGAACACTCAGAAAAAATTCCTTCGATCCGG